CCGCGTTAATTTACAAGTGGTTGTACGTCCTCTCCCGGTAGTTTACACGCTTGAATTACGTAATCGATTTTAGTCCATTCGTAATCGGCATATTCTTTTCTTCTGGGTTGGCTGTGACAGACAACGTCCTCCCGTTGCGGAGCACGAAAATGTTCCTCTTTCTCTTTCTCACTCTGGGGAAAATAACAAAGTCGCATGATACTCGATCGCTGAACGTTAATTTAACAAACAAGCGCAGTTAAATTTAAAAAAAATTAACGATCTACGTATTACTATCTCTGCGATATATTATCGAAATACGATATTCTGTACTACGATACGATCATCGCTGAAATTTTCGATCGGTGATGTAATAACTCTATATGCAACTAATCGAGTTTATGCGAACGTTTACGACAAAATCTTATCTTCACTGACGAATTATTTTTGAGGAGACTCGCAAAGACTGCCGTAAAATCGTCCGACTATAAAATAAAAGAAATAAAGCGAAACGGAGCAAAACAACTCGATAATACGAATTATGTCGCGTTTGTTCTACTTGAAGACATTTGCATTGTAATTTATAGAAAAAATATCAAAACATGATAAACAAATAAACCATTAATTAAGATATTGTAATATATAAACGTCAAAATATGTGTAGAATTGCTATAATAGCTTCAACTCATGTTAAAGACGCATAATATGTAAAATATATGTAAAGACATAATATGTAAATTGTGTATTGTATATATTAAAAATTATGAATTATATATTTAAGTAAATTTTAATCATTGAAAAAATATTTATTCCTGATAGTTTGATAATATTTGTCACATTTCATACTTAATAGAAAAACATTTCATTGTAAAGCCATACTTCGTATTATATTTCATGATATCAATAAAATATACCACAAAGTAATTTTATGAAATTATAAAAATGCTATATGAATAATACCTACTATAAATACATCATTCGTTTAAAATTATCCAAATTTGTTTAAAATTATTCAAATGATTCTTAAGGTTTGTTCAAAGAATCTTTAATCTTATTGCTTTATTTTAAAGCAAAAGCATAATATTTTTCTTTAAAAAAAATAATACAAATCTGTTGTATATTTTCTATTAATTCTTTATCTCAATAAAAATCCATTTCTGTTATTTACAATTACGTAATTAGTATCGTTGCGTTTTCATTTTTTATTATTTTCTTATCATGCAGAGCTACTGCACTGCATCGAGAGAACACTATAGCACTGAAAATCAACTTTTTTATCACGTTTTTGTGATATCTATTATTTTTTTAAATATAGGAAGTTAAATTTAAAGTATATAAATAAATGTGTATATAACATATACAATTATACATACTTGTATACTTTATGTTAAATATTTTATGCCTCATTTGTATTGTGTCGTTTGTAATTTATATTTAATATATTTAATATAAATATATATTTATATGTTACATATTTAATAAAAAGCAACATTCCTGTCATTCCTAAATGCAGCATTATATAAAATAGCAACAATTTACACTCTAAAATAATATAAATAAGAAATTATTAATATACTTTTTAAAATGCATTTTTCATTTTTATCAGAATTTATGATTGCAAAACATAAGTATGAAAGTTATAAACATGGACAGAAATAAATCTTAAAGATTTAATTATATCCGTGATTCCAGTTTCTTTATTCCAAAATGTTTCAATTTATTTAATAAATTATCGTAACAGATTCCAACTATAAATATAAAAAATTGAACCGAATGAGTTATATTACGTACGTGTCTATATGAGTATATTATATTAATAGTGAGCGTATTAAAAGTATGTTTCAGTCAAATAATAAAGGTATTATTTCCTTATCTTATATTTGAAAAGTCAGAAGAGATAATTTTAATTCCTTTTCCATGTATCATGTAACGGATTTATGGGGTACAATAAGCTTTCCACGTAAAATGTGACTATTGCGATTGTAGCAAAGCCGATTGCATTAAATCCAGATTTCAAAAAAACCATTTAAATTATTCCTTAATCGATCAATCTAATAGCATTGATATCTTAATAGCATTTATTTATTCGTTAATTTTATATTTTATATATTCATTATCAATCGCTTTGATATCACTTTCATCGAATATTAATTAATCGTTAAGTAATGCTTTGTTGCAGACTGCAAAGCAATAAAGAGGTATATATTTTTTCTTTAAATCAATTTTAGCTTTAAAACAAATAACCTACTGCTCTATTTTACTAGTATATTAGTTAATTTTCACATAATCGACATATGTACATTACAACCGCATATAAGTTAAAAACGACGAAGGACACAGCTTAGTATCTACTTAGATAATCTTTTTCTTTTAATGAATATAAACGAAGTTCTCATATTGAAAAATTATTTCCTATGTTATAAGCTGTATGGAAAATATATAACACATGTATATTAGGACATTTAAATACCGTTTTATTTTATGCCGCACATTTAACGCTATGTGCCGTTGTTGCAAGTGTTTCTTGTATGCATACTGCGTGTAATTTTTATATCATTTTTGTGTCCGGTGTAATATTATCCAATATCTAACTTTATTTGAATAGTCATTTATATTTAGTCAAGCTTGAGATAAGGACAAATGCGGTGTTAAATACGCGCTAACAAATCAAAGTTTGACTCTCGATTTTGCACCGATAATCAAGCTAATCATTGTCGATGAGAATCGATTTAACTATTCGCTATTAACGCTATTGCTGTACCGTCATCAATCGTATCTAGCAATCAGAAAGGGACAGAAAGGGAAAGGCACTTACTTTATATATCACATCTAGAAAAAAGAAACTGTAAAGACATTATGAAAAAATTGAATAATTATCCTTGTTCGACGTTTTGTTACATAAAGTTCTACTTCAACGAGCTTAAAAATTCTGTCCGTTGTTAACTCACAAAAGAAAAAATTAACGTATTTATAATCAATATCTGTTAATTTTAATCCTCACGATTTTCCAATCCCACGTGTGATGATCAGGATCACAATCTAATTGTGACAATAAATGTGATAATTTTTTCTTCACTTTATCATTGCCGTCGAATATTAAACCGGTCGTAATTAACCAGTTGCGGTCTCGGCGACAAAATACCTCACTAACGTTAGGGTTGGCACGTACATCCCGAATTATCATTTCCATAGGCTGATGAGTAGCGACGGCCTCGCGACTGTGCGTTACGTAACGAAAGTGGAGCGTACGTTTCGTATTGCCCCGCGAGCGCGCGATTGTTCCTTCAAATTTGCACATGAAAAGACACGAACGACTGAGCGAGAAAATGTATTTTCAGGAAAGACGAGCGCGCCGGTCGTGAACTCGAGATATTTCATGGAAAAACCGAAGGTGCGATCGATCTTATCATAAAATACCGATCGATAAATCTATCCTGATTCCACAATCAATTGTCACGTTTTCCGAGCAACACGAAAATCTAAAAAAAAATGCGTACAAAAATGTCGGATATGTCTGAAAAATTAAAAAGTCTCGATATTTATGGTCGTTTATCCGTTCGCTTCGGTAACTGATTCCCAGGTCGTCGTCTGATGCTATTCGCTTCGACACCCGATTCCCAAATTGATCTCGACAACGGATCGTCGCGTCGTCGAGGGCGATCCATCTGGCTTACCTGCGGAAATCCGATCGAGCCGCGGAATCGATCCCCGCGCTGCGGCTGATCCCCCCAGTTTCCGGCGAATCCTCCGGATGACCCGACGACTAGATGATCGGCGCCGATATGCCAGAGCGCCGATCGCGACCGGCGATACGGTGAAAAATTCGCGGCAAACGGACTTGACGGAATGAACGGACGAAGGAGGTTCAAGAACGAGTGACGTGGACGTCCCACGGCGTCGACTCATATACTCTACCCGCGCCAATCTGACGTCACGGGCGCGTTTCTTATCAGCTAGAGGAGGCCCAACACCTGTAAACCCCACACCTGTCGGCGGTGAGCTTAAGCGCCGTCGGAAACACGCCCAGCTCGTCTGGCGACGACGATGACGATGACGATGACGATGATGACGGAAATTTTCGTGGAACGCTACCCGCAGATCGCCCACAAGTGCATCGGGTGCTCGATACCGCGTTAGTAACGTTAGGTCCCCCTTATTTTGGGTGCATAATTGTCTAATTTTCTAACATTTTAATAATAGTAATCCTCTAATATTTTAAATTACATTTTTTTTTATTTTAATTAAACAAGAAAAGTATAAGACGTCAGCCCTTGGGCCAATTAGATAATAAAAATTGCAATTTAGATACTTTATAGCTAGCCATTCACTTAATAACTCCTGCGATAAGTTAGTTTTACAGCTTCCGATTATTCAAAATATATGAAGAAATATAGATCACGTTAATTTTTTATCGGGAGATATTTTTATGAAAATTTAAATGCGTTGCGTCGAAACTTAATCTTAATTATCTTAATAAGTGTTAGAAAATTCTTGTTATTTTTTCTGCGATTTGGATTGGGGTCCCGTTTAATTAATAGATCCTATTTATTTAGCAGACAAGTTATGTAATTATTTTCTATGAAAACAACCACGTTTTATCTTTTTATTTCTTAGAGAAAATTAAGTTCCTGCACTCTTGACCATTGATTATCTTGCTCGAAAAATAAGAATTAGAAACGGAGAATAAGAAACGAGATAAAACTTGGCGTTTATCACTGGTCAAAGCAGTAGAACTTCGCATTGTCATTGATGAGACGTTATGTAAAATGAACTTCCTGGTATGGAGAAAATGTTGTTAAGCTAACTAAACAATGCTTTTAATGGTACGTACGAAAGTACAAGTTAATGAATTAATTTTTCCAGCAATTAATTTTTCAAACATTAATTGCATGTTTGAAAAATTTGAAGACTCATAAAAACTGAAATATAAAATTGATATACATTCGCATGCAATTAGATGATTCCTGTTCGGTTATAAACAATCATTTTGACGAAAAATTTTATTTATTTATTTATCCTCTAGCTACATAATTTTATAAAACTATGCTTTACAATAAAAAGCTACTAATGTTGAATTTTTATATTTTCCTTTTCTGCCATTTATATGCTATCGCGACGTATAGATCATAATTAAGCATTGCATTCCTCCAGATGCAATCCGGATCTTTCAAATTTCCGAGACTAGACTCGAGAACACGTGGTTGAGAGTCGTCTCGCTCTGCTCTTGGGTAACGAGAAACGGGATGAATTTACGGCCGCGGTGCCGCGCCGCGTGCGATATCAATGGCAGAAGCAAACGAGTCGGCCGAGGCAAACACCGGAGCGAACGTTAAGGGAACGGTGGAGGAACGAGGTGAAGACGAAACTGTGAGTTTTACTCCGACGGTGTCACGCGGGTTTACGTGGAGGCGTTGCACCTTATCTCGTGTCCCAGTTACATCACCACGCCGCCGCGGCTTTGTTGCTGCTACATCTATTCCGATCACGAGCGACTGTTTCGTCTGCCACGTATAAGAATGTTCTATTTTATCAATAACGTACAACCATTTCTCTTACAAATTTTCAGATTCCTCGGACCAGTTTGCCTCAGATTGAATCGAACACTCCTTAGTTTCTTCATGCGGTATCTTTTCGTTTTCATTAAATAGTTATTGTGGAGCGACTTCCACCGGTAGCTAGTTTGTTTCTGGAAAGAAATATTTGATATAGAAAGATAACAGAAAACAATTTATTAGCCTAAAGTTAAAAATCAGATTTTTTGCATTATTTGAACTAATAATATATATAAAAAATATAATTAACCGAGTATAGATGTTGAGGAATGATAACAGATATTACTTAAAATAAGGAATATACATTAATATCTTATAAATTACTAATAAATAATCACACAATCGATCTTATAAATAAATTTAAGACAAATGCATTACTTTGAAAAAGAACGGCAACTGTTAGTCATTAACGAGAAGCGCAGTAAATAATCACGGTAAATATCTATATCTTTTTCATGGTTTGTATACCAAAAGCAATGGCACTAAAGAAGCAGAGGCACTGAAAAATCTAAAAATAAACGCTCGGTCGTCTGCACTTCTTACACGAGAGAGAATTCCTAGAAGGCCGTATTGGAAAGTAGCAGTAAGATTAGCCAATTGTCCTTTGTAAAAGTACACATGCATATTTACGCACATGCATCGTCACCAAACGGAATTTAGATTTCGCTTATGCATATACGTAGAGTATATAAGTTTGGACACGGTCCAGATTCTCACCTGCACGCGTCTTTAAAAGTCTTTCTAGCTTGATCGAGCATTCGCTTGTACATGGCGAGGTCCGATGCTTTATCCTGCTGCACGGTATCTAATCTGGTCTTCAGTGCGAGACACTCCTCTTCTAGTAATTCGATTCTACGTCAAATGTAAAAATATCGATAGTTACAGGAAATGTAGACTCTAATACGTGTTAGAAAAGGAATCTGGGTAGCCAAATCTGTCGAGATTTTGAAAGCGTCTGTTATAAATTTTGTCGATAAAATGCCAGCAGAGAGAGACAGAGAGAGAAATATAACAGAATCTGCTAGAATATAATGGCATTGACTGAAAAAACTGAGCAAAATCTGCCGTTTTGTAAACATTTAATGATATATTCCATTTAAATGTTTATGAAATGACAGATTTTGTTTTTACCGAGAGAAAAAATGGTTACAGTTACCACAATTTCACTATAATTTTTAATTATTTTCCAACTACATCTTTATAGTTATTTTAACAATGCGAATTATAGCTGACTCAATACATTATTGTTGTCATAGCTTTTAACATGCATAGCATATATACATGGTTTTATAACTTTTGTGATTTATGTATAGTAAATATAGTAAAATCTTATTATAAATATCATGAAAGTCACCATAATTGAAAAATCGATATGTATGTAAGATTATTTTACGAATATTACAGCAATTATAATAATTACTATAAAATAAGAACCCCAACCATATAATTATTTTACTATGCAATTACAGTCGGAAATACCAAACACTTTCCTCTCAGTGCGACAATCCGCTGTCAGATTATATCGACAGGCTTTGCTAGCAAAACACGAGTTTAATGCAGACAGATGATACCGAATCTGTTGTAATATCTGTGCAAATCTGCTGTCAATCTGTTGTCATACTGCAGACAGTTTGCTTACTGGAAAAAAAAAACAGATTTTACTTGTGATATAACTTACTTATAACGAACTTCATCGGGGTTAGTAGTTTCTTCCTCCGTTCGTAAACTCGACATCGATTTCGCGCAAGATCTCGCTCTATATCTCGTATCTACTTTAGCAAGTCCCACTCTCTCTTTTTCCGAATCTCGTAATTTCAATTCTAATTTCGCCCATTTACTCTTTTCCTTGCGCAGCAATTCCTTTTAAATTAAATTAAATATTTAATTATTTAACTGAGCTATAAATTTCATAATTTACAAAATTTTCTTATCCAATTTCAAATCATTCTTTATACCAGTTTAACATTATATTATCATCAAACAATTGTTATTTAATTCCGAAATCAGTAAGTTAATTCTCGTTGATTAATTGTTAAATTTTATTAGATCTATAATTGTGCCACAAAATTGAAACGTCCTTTTATCGAATTAATTATCAACAACATTCTTTAACAAATATAAAAAAAATTATAGCTTACTGCAAGTGCGTCAGCTTCGTTCCTTTCCTTGTCCAGTCGTTGATTAAGTAGTGTTACCAATTCTAACAGTCTCACGCGTTCGGCTTCAGCAGCTAGAGCCAAGATCACATATTCATTTGGTTCGCCTAAGTTTCGAGGACTAACAGCTGGACTGATTTGCCGCTCTTCAGTTAACCGGAAATCTGGATGAAGCGAGATTCGGCACTTCAAAGATTCATCCGACAGAATGCCATTTCTAAAATTGAAAAACAAACGTATTTCTTTTTATTGGGACGGCATAACTCGTATTTATTATTTTAATATGAGTGATTTGCTCATATGTCAAATCACCTCAATTTGTCAATCTCGATCTCGCGTTCCTCCAATCTTCTGCGTAATCGATCGACGTGCAACTGCGTTGCTCGCAGCTCGTTCTTGATATTCGCGTTCTCACGTTCGATCTTGTGTTCCCTATTTTGTACGTCCATCTCGTGATCTTGATACCTTGCTTCGGAAATCTTCAATCGTTCCTGATAATGCCAGATATATTACACTTCGACACATTAAAACCAAAGGATTCATAATATATATATTATATCCTAGAGAAAAGTTATCTCTTCGTAATGCTATATAAACACACATTTGTAATTAATTCTTTATTAAATTCTTTACTAAATATTTTTTTATTGTCACTAACGTTAAGCGCGTCAATTAGACGATCGTCGTGAGACCTTTTTTCATTCAACATCGCAATTTTTCCTTTCGCGATACTCAGTTCTTGCTCCAATATTTTTATTCTCGCCTTGGAAGCATCGAGTTTCCTCTTCGAAGCCTCCAACGCTACTTCCGCTTGTCTCAGCTCTTTCGCTGTATTTTCTATCTGTTGCCGTCTTTCCTTCTCAACATTCCGGAGATATGCCAAATTTTGTCGATCTTGAAAAGTTGAATAAACAACTTAATTGTCAGCAAACAAATAAATGGCTACAATCGTATTACAAGTCTCCATTATACATATATTGTACGGCAATGTTAATTAACAATAAATCTGAATAAATAAACACAAATACATTGAATAAAATATTAAATAAATCTTTGTTAATAAAAATAATTCTGATCGCGGAGAATCAATTTGGTATAGAAATAGGAATATATAATTTTTTCTTCTACCGCAAGATTCTTTCTGAGATCTTTCGTTTTCGGACAATCTTGTTTGCAGCTCCGCCAATTTCTGCTGCAGATTTCGGATTTGCTCGGCTCGTCCACGCCAACCGCCCGGTGCACTCGAAAGCGCGCTGATGCTGACGTTTTCACCCACCTCGCTGCACAATAACTGATACTTGTATCCTTAGTGATAATTACGTAGAGAAATTAAAAAAAAATCAAGTAACAAAAAACGAGACGGCACGACTCGTCTTTTTACACAATTATTTCTCAATTATAAAGATTTTCTTTTCTCATATCTCTCTATCTCTTTATTCTGATCTCTTTAACTTTATTTTACTTCTCAAAAGTAATTAAAACAGATGCTTGGTTTTTTCCACAAAAACCAGTCATCTTTCGACATTAATTAAATTTGCAGAGCAACAAGAATACGAAGAATACCTTCTGTGCTTTATTAATCTCTTGCCTAAGAGCGGCACACGTGTTTCTGGATTCACAAAGCTTCGCTTGGACCCGTTGCAATTTGTTCTTCAAACATCTAAATCGTTCCTCGTCACCTTTGCCTAATAAATTTTTTTGGTTTTTTTTTTTAATCTTTCTCACCTATATTGTATCTTGACTTCAGTTATCTTCGGCATTACAAGTACACGAAAAATATGATATATTAAAATGATCGAGTAATTACAGCAAATTATGAATTTTTAAATTAGTACAGAATCATTAATGAGTAGGAAAATTATTAACAGTGAGAAAGAAAGAAACCTAACAATTAACCTTCATTTTCTCAAAAACTTAAATGATAATAACTCTTCTTCAAGGCTATTTTAATTTCTAAACAAAGCTAACGAGATAAATATGCGAATCCGTATATTGTTTGCAAAATAGAGAGGAAATGTGAACTAACTGTCACCGCAATCTTTGCGCACTTCGGATTTGAGAATGTGTTGCAATTCCGTTCTTTGGCGCCCTAACTCGTCGTCTTTGATGACCAGAGTGGCCTCTAAATTCTTACATTTTGTTTTCAGCGCTTCTACTTCGGCCCCTACATTTCTTGCTGAGTTCAATTAACTTCGCCGTGGCTGACTCGGCCGTCGTTGCATTTTGCGAATTCTGTTTTTCTCGCGACAGTTTCCGCAACTTCTCTTCCGTTTGCTCAAATGCTCGTCGCAAACATTCATTCTCCGCCGTTAAGTCCTGTTATACAATTAATATCTACACGATAGTAAATTAATATAAATAATCGCATGGTGTATTCAAAGAAATATATAAATAATAATAAAAATATATACGTATATAATACATTGATAAATAAAATATAAATCCATGCATAAAAAAGAACAAAGACTATTTTCGTATAATAGCGTAAAGTTTTTTAAGGGGGGGTAAGCTAGGTCTAATAAACAATTAAAAAATGATATAAATGAATTAATTATTAATTATTAACCTGTAAGAATTATTGTGTAATCAATTATTGTGTACAAATTATAGCTTTCTTTATTTTTTATATTGATGTAACTTTGTAATACATTATATAAATTGGGGATTATAATAAGGAATAAAAAATTGAATTTAATTCTATTATACTTACACGAATTCGATTCTGCAAAAAGTTATTTAATTCCTCTGGAAATATAATACGTTCGGAGAGTTCTTTCTACGCAAAAGTTACATATGTGAACATTCACAAGTAAACAAAATGTACAATACGAGCACAATGAAGAAGATGTAATAAAATATTGATAATGCGTACATACACACATACGTTCAGAAACTATTACACATCATTTGGGACCCACATTTACTGCCAATACTAAGAATATACACTTAAAGACAATACCTCTATAAGTTTAGTTGACGACATATTTTCATTATCAAAAGAATCGTTTGCCTCCAGCTTGTCATCTGCCATTCTCGCATTAAGCACTTAATAAACAACGGTTCAGTTTAATCTTGTGAGATGACAGTACTCTCGAATAAATCGTCATATGCATTGCATTCCTGTTTGTACGTTATCCGCTGAATGATTTGAGTGAAATTGTGCCAACGTTTCCTTCTTATGCAGAATTACGAATTATTGACAATTATTGCAAGACTGCGGAATAGTGCGAATCCAGAAGTGACGATTCCGTTCCATTCATAAACGTATTATTTTTTTTGCTAATGTCAAATATGTCCACGCTAAATAATAATGCGAATGTACGCTCGTTCTTTGTTTTACAAATACAATTACATGACATATGGAAGATGTGGCATTTGGATTACATTTAATGCTTCAATAAGTTCTTTTTTTTACAATTAGTATATTTAAATGAAGTATATTTTAACGGAATTACAGATGTTTTACATGTAATTAATTGAACTAACCAATAAAGGAGACTATCGCATGAAAATTGGGAGTCAATATAAGTTGATATATTTACCTAAGATTACATTTAACCGGCCTTAGGCCGGTCCGACATTGGTCGTGTCGTGGCGTCGTGAATCGTGACTCGTAAGAGTCGTGAAGGGTTGACCAACTGCAGTCGATTATTCTCCTCAAATTCGACTATGGTTGGTCAATTTCTTACAACTTGCGGCGCTGCGGCGCGACCAATGTGGAACCGGCTTAAAATAACATAAATGTAATCGTACAAAATAAAACATATTTAAAAGAATATTTCATCATTTGACATAAAAAATGCTTTCTTCTTGAGAAGTTACTCTTTCATTCATAATACTAAACGTTTAGAACAAATAATTTTGTTAATAGTTCTTTTGTTATTTAATCCTTTTTATTTCAATTTTGTTATCGGTTCTGCGACGTCTTACTTTTCCTTCTTAAATGGCTTCTTCTTCTGATTGCCGCCAGCTAATTTTCCAGCCTTCTGAAGCGCTTGCAGCTTCATATTTTTGGCAACCATAAACTTTTTCGTAGCGTCATTTGCCTTTTTACCGCCCGCAGGTAGCGAATATTGAACATTTATCCTCCTTTTGTTTAAGAATGTATGATTTAACGAGAGTCCTTTCTGTAAAAATACAAAAATTGTGTTGCAATAAGAACGATTAATAAAGATATCATAGCGAAGACAGTATAAGATGCTCTTACCTCAAAATCTATATTATTTGTCACCTCCACATATGCAAAGCCACGTGGTGATTTATCTGGCTTAGTCGGAATTCTGATGCTAGTTATTGAATCAATCTTGGTCAAGAAATGCCGTTTGATCTCATCTTCAGTTATACTGTAAATTAGATATTCAGATTACAATCTACCTAAAAACTAACAAAAATATTAAAAACTATAAAAATTTACTTACTTCAGTGGTAAATTGCCCACAAACAAGACATATCGCTTTGTCTTCTCTCCTTTTTGCTGGTTATCCAAAGATTGCGGAACTTGTTTATTCTTGTTTTGCTCTTGTTTATTCTTGTTATGTTCCTGTTTAT